TACACTAGAGGCCCAGTCAGGCATCGATGGGGGTCCCTCAGCCTTGCCTGCTCCATCTTGCAATCTGGGGCCCCTCAGGAAAAGTCAGAGACCCAGTTTCAGCCCGATCCCTGCAGGCCAGGTCGAGGGACCCCACCAGTGCATGAATCCATGTACCGGGCCTCTAGTATGCATATAAGATTTTTGGTTAATCTCTTCCCACCCTCCCCTCTTCCCCCTTCCCTCTGAGATTCATGTTTCCATGACTGTGCATTGAACGTCTGCCCCCTGGTGTTCAGTGTGCGTCATAGCTACTGGGCGTCATAGCTACTGGTCACTTAGGTTTTTTTTTTTTTAATATATTTTATTGATTTTTCACAGAGAGGAAGGGAGAGGGATAGAGAGTTAGAAACATCGATGAGAGAGAAACATCGATCAGCTGCCTCCTGCACACCTCCTACTGGGGATGTGCCCGCAACCTAGGTACATGCCCTTGGCCGGAATCGAACCTGGGAACTTTCAGTCCGTAGGCCGATGCCCTATCCACTGAGCCAAACCGGTTAGAGCAGTTAGGTTTTTATATATGCAGATGGCATTGTTCTAACTATACCAAATAACACTTGACAATTATTTGGTATTATTTGTCTCAATTTGTAATAGTATCAAGTTTGGCCCTAGCTATACTAACTCTCATGAATGGCTCAGCTCAGCATTCCATCACTATACACAGCCTCTGTTGAAGGAAATATAAATGTCACTAAATTTTCCAAATTTTATGGCACACTTTAAACAGTTTGGGGCATACTAATTGAGAATTTCTGCCTTTAATATTTAAAATATGAGATTAGTGTTCAACTCTCTTTGTTCTGCTTGGATTTCCTTTGGTTCTACTTTGATGAATCTTATTTACCTAAGATTTACATAAAAATGTATCTGAAGTTGATAAAGAAGAGAGATTCCATCCAGTTTAGAAGGTATACAGGAGAAAATTTAAAAGTCCCAATACAGACATAAAATTTGAGACACTGACAGTATGACAAAAGGAAATTGTTGTTCTGAATTCTTCAAGATGGTGATCTCTTGTAAGTAACAATCTAAGCAGGGACATTAGAATGTAACATTCATTATTCTTTGCCTCTAGATACCAACTCATTGGTGAAACTTCTAATTTTTGTGGCATCGTAGACAATACTGTCGCCTGGCAAAATCAAGTACCTGTTTGTAACAGTGAGTTGAAATCTTTTCTATTACCTTTACCAGTAGAGTCTAAGTTTCCACCTGAATATATAAAAATTTGAATTGAATTCCTTTAGTGCATTCTGTCCTTGAGATAGTTGAAGACAGCACTACTGTCCTCAAAGTACTTGTGGGTTTCCTGGCAACTGTTTAAGTTCTTCCTGATCTCGGGATGTGCCTTTTGTAAATCCGGGGACTTAAATGCATAAACGCCTCTAAAATGTATTTCTACTTCAGTTAATTTGGAATTATGTTGGTTCTACCATCCCCAGTATAATAACCATTCTGCTTGGCAAATAAATACAGAATGATAAAGCGATGCTCTCCACGGTCCATGAAGCTGTGGAAGAATCAACGCCCTCATGTACGAGGGTCCAACAAACCCTCTTGAAAGGCACCCTGTACTATACGCCTCAAAAGTGGGTACATACAAGACCTACTTCTTAGAATTCACACTTAGGAAATAAACACAGCTTTCTGCAAGGAGTTCACTGTAAACGCATCATTGCTGCATTCTTTATAATAGTGAAATGGTTCCGGTCACCTAAATGTACTACTTGTTTCAAAATATGGTTTAGAAAGAATATGCCAGGAGGAAGGAAACGTGATAAAAATGACTACATAGGATTTCCTAAGGAACATACAATAGCCATGCAGCATTAGAAGAAATATATCTGTACACTGGAACTTTATTCAGCCATGAAATAAAACCATCTGGAGAAGCACTTAGTGACATATAAAGATGTTTATTATATCTATTTGATGTGAAAAAAAAATCAGATGACAAACCAGTTTGTATGGGAATAGTTCATTTTATTAAAAGATCATATATCTATGCCTATTTCTATATTTTCATCTCTATCTCTAATTCTGTAACCATTTTTATATTCACACCCTGGTAACTAGTTTTAAGCCTCTTTGATGAAGGCTGTGGGGCGGAGGTGGGGGGATCCTTTGCCTTTTGGCTGTGTAGCAGGTGCTTCTTCAAGAAGATTCACACTCCCATTTCTTCAAGCTCCTTTGTGTCTGTAAACTGGTTCTTAAGTCTGGGAATTGGCTGACGAAGAACCACACCCTGTTTTATAGTGTTTCAAGTCAGACTTCTGGTCACCAGACCTAGATCTTTTCTGCTTATACCAACCTTAGTTCACTCTTCATCTACTTCATCTCTTGAGACTCCATGATCAATTAACTGATGACAAAGGTCTCTGCAGATAAATCATTCTGATTTGTTTCAATTGCCTCTGGCAGTTAAGGGCTGCCACTCAGCCTCTGCCATTCTGAGGCCCTGTCACCCCCCTTGATTTTAGGGAACCTGGTTCAATAGCAACTATTCCCACTGTCGTTCCTGGCCTACATAGAGGGCCTACATCAGCGAGTTCTTCAAAGATGCTGAAACTCCTACATGAATTTATTTCTCAAAGCCTTGGGTGAAAGAGGGATCCATCCCCCAACCCCCCATCAGATGGACTTAGTTAAGGAGCCTATTCATGGGTCTTACAAAATGAATGCCCTTGAGCATTCTCAGAGCCCCGGGCCATTGTGTTCCAGGTGGGTTCTTGGCTTTATGCAGGAAGGAATTCAAAACTTGAGCCTGACAGAAGAGGTTAAAGTGGAGAAGGGGGTTTTATTGAGCAGACAGGACACACAGGAAAAGCCACTCCACAGACAGAGGGGCGGACTCCCCTCACGAGAGAAGGAAGAGAGGCCCCGGCCATCTCTGCACGTTGAGCCTATACCTGTTTGTAGTTTCTATGGAAAATTGCTGGGATGGGGAAACAGAGAGAGGGAAAAGTCGGGATGAGCTTTCACCTTTACAAGGTATATTTTGTGGTCTGTTTCCCTTTTATGGTATACTAGTAGGTAAGTGATAAGGTGTGGCTGAGTAGCTAGTCATCAGTCATCAGTCTTTGCAGGAATGTCCTTGGTTCCGGGGGTCCCTCATGGTCTGCTTGCATCTCCGTGTCAGGCAGCACGGAGCAGGCCCCTGGCTTCACTTTGTTTGGCTTTAGTTCATTTATATCGTGTTCATGGCCCTCTCCTATGTGAATAGGATTTCTGCCCCTGAGGTATGTTAGTAAAGCTCTGGTCTTTCACCTTCACTGGGCATGCTCCACACTCAAACTATCACACTGAATTCAGAATCTCACTTCTTTGGGTGCATTTGCACCTCTCACAAGTCATAATATTTAACTCTCCCCCCCCTCCCTTGCACTCCACCCCCATTCCTGCCAGGAATTGAATCTGGTGAGAGCAGTAGAAACCATGTGAGTTGGTAGGGGTAGGTCCTGAGGAAGAACATCAATTGTTACCATTTCTGTTGCCAGATTTAGTAAATAAAATATTATACCCAGTTAAATTTGAATTTCAGATAAGCGACAAGTATTTTTGCAGTATAAATATATGCCATGCAGCCGGGCCGGCGTGGCTCAGTGGTTGAGCGTCGATCTATGAACCAGGAGGTCAGGATTCAATTCCCGGTCAGGGCACATGCTCAGGTTGCAGGCTCGATCGCCAGTGGGGGGTGTGCAGGAGGCAGCCAATCAATGATTTTCTCTCATCATTGATGTTTTTCTCTCTCTCTCCCTCTCCCTTCCTCTCTGAAATAAATAAAAAAATATTTTTAAAAAAATTAAAAAATATATATGCCTGCAATTCTGAGATATAATTATACTTAGAAATGTTCACTTTTTTTCTGAAATTCAAATTTAATGGGACTACCAATACTTCCTCTGGCAGCCCTTTCAGGGCAGCTACATCAGGAGGGGCCATTAGAGTTGCTTTAGGCAAGAGGAGACTTGCCTCCTCAGACAGGGGAGGAGGAGCTACGTCTCCTAGCAAAGGTCAACCCAGCAGAATTCCCAGGCTCCAGGCTCTCAGCTTCATTAGAATCTGTCCATTTCGGTTTTCAGAATCCTCTTCCAAGCAGTGCTCCGACTTTAGCATACAGACCCTGAGACGTGGTGAGAATGAGCCACAGGATTAGATGCTGGATTCGTTTTTTTTCAGAAATCTTGGCCCTGTGGCTACAGGGCACAAGTGTTCTTTTAAGGCAGATACAGAAGCTTTCAGAGCCAGGCTTTGAGCAGGAATTTCAAGCTTTGCACCCATCACTTTCATTCTTTCAGGTTCTCTAGAACAAGCAACCAACCCATTCTATGCCTTCCCTAGACTCTCCTAGGACAGCCACACTTAGTCACTCAAGCCTCGCTCCTATGCTTACAGATGAGTACAGTGGGCACCCAGGGGATCTTCTGTCCCTGCATTCCATCAACTACAGTGGGGCCTTGACTTACGAGTGTCCCGCCTAACGAGTTTTTTGAGATACTGTCTCCCCCCCCCCGCCCCCCCCCCCCGAGTTTTTGCATTGAGTTGACAGAGTAATTTGAGTTAACGAGCTCCTTAACGAGCTCGGTCTCGGAACGAATTAAACTCGTAAGTCAAGGCCCCATTGTATTTGTGTGCCCCTTTCGACGATCAGCATTAACATGAATTCTTTTTTAAAATATATTTTTATTGATTTCAGAAAGGAAAGGAGAGGGAGAGGG